AAAAAGAACTTGACATGAAGTTTTGACGTTAATGGCACCTGAATAAATACCTCACTACAGTCCATCTGAGTCTCAGTTCTGTTTTTATCCATCACCTCCAACAACAGTTCTCGCTCTGAGACACTTCTACAGCCTTTTGTTTTCCTCTCTCTCTACGTCTTGACCTACGCAGGATTTATCATCAACACTATATATATATTTATATATATATATACACACACATATATTTGTATATATGTGTATATATATACATATATACATATATATACACATATATATGCAGATATATGTACATAAATATATGTGTATCAGTATATATGTGTGTATATATGCACATATATGTATACACACATATATCTATATATATAGATATATGTGTGTATACATATATGTGCATATATACACACATATATACTGATACACATATATTTATGTACATATATCTGCATATATATGTATATATATGTATATATTTGTATATATGTGTATATATGTATATTTATATATGTGTATATGTATATATGTGTATATGTATATATGTGTATATATATACATATATACAAATATATACATATATACATACATATATACACATATACAATACAATGCTAATCTAAAATAAAATCAAATTGTCTTGTTGTTGTTGTGAAACTGTTCAAACTGGACTGATGTTCAAAGTGTCAGATTAGGTTAAACTTCCTGTACAACTTTTTTTTTTTTTTAACTTCTAAGCCACCGACATGTCATCTTGTTTCTTCTTGTTAACGCGAGTTTCTGTTCCTGTTCTGTGAATCCAAAGAAAAGCTCCAACAAAGCTGTCAGGGAATCTGACATGGTCGACTTTAACCCTCTGGAAAAGTAATGAAATATATCAAATAAGAAATAATAAACGGTGTAACTTCTGTAGGACACGCGGCCGCTCGTCCCCGCAGAAATAAAACAAAACTCTGAGAGCAGCTGAAGTCTGAACGACAGGATCACGGCCAGGAATCTGAGGCCGAACTGGAGCAAAAGATTTCATCTGAAATCCAGCTCTGGGGTCTATATCTGCTGCAGGGGGGGGAGGGGAGAGGAGGGGGGAGAGAGGGGTGAGGTGGAGTCTGAAACGAAGAAGAAGAAGAGGAAGAAGAAGAAGAAGAAGATAACCACAGGGAGAGGAGGGGGGGGGGGGGGGGGGCAAGAGACAAGTGAGGAAGGAGTAAAAGATTATGGGAATAT